TTGTCGTTGTTGTTGTTGTTGTTGTTGTTGTTGTTGTTGTTGTTGTTGTTGTTGTCGTCGTTGTTGTTGTTGTTGTTGTTGTTGTTGTTGTTGTTGTTGTTGTTGTCGTTGTTGTGCTGGTGGGGAAGCATTCAGGAACCACATCGTCACAGCAGTCTCGCAAGCCTGTCGTGCGGGCAAATGCCAAGGGGCGGAATGGTGAGCTCGCACATACACTCGTATGACATGAAGCCCCAACGCCCGTGCATCGACACGCGTAGAACACACACACACACACACACACACACACACACACACACACGCAAACACACACACACGCAAACACGCAAACACACACACACCCACACGCAAACACGCACACACACACACACGCAAACACGCAAACACATTCCAAGCACGGATACAGATGCACATGCTTCCCCTTTCTCCCACACAATCCCATTCGCGGGCAAATGCATGTCACAAACGTACGGAAGCAGTGAATGTCACAGAAGCAGGCGGCATTGATGGCTGTGTCTGTCTCACAGCGGCCAGCACACGACTGCAACAGAGACGTGGTCGTCGTTGTTGAAGCTGTTGTTGTCGTCGTCGTTGTGGTCGTCGTCGTCGTGGATGTGGTCGTCGTGGATGTGGTGGCCGTGGTTGTTGTCGATGTGGTTGTCGAGGTTGTCGTGGTTGTAGTAGTGGTTGTAGTTGTGGAGGTGGTGGTCGTGGCAGTGGTCGTGCTTGTGGTTGTTGTTTCCAAGTCTGTAGTTGTTTCCACGTCCTCCGTGGTTGTAATTTCTTCACCGGTGGTCGTCATCGGCTCTTCTGTGGAAGTCTCCTCTATCAGTGTTGTCGCTGCGATTGTAGTTGTCGTCGTTGTTGTTGTGGTGGTAGTCGTTGTGGTGGTAGTCGTTGTGGTTGTGGTGGTCCAAGGGTTGGGGTACACTGCGAGCGCATCGCACCAGTATACGCGCGCGTCTGTGACGGAGGCCATCAGCGTGGGCTGCACACCGCCGTGCGCGCCAACTGTCAGGAGACACATGGCGCCTAACGCCGGGTCGCACGCCTGCACGCGTGTGCCGAGCTGGCGGGTGGTGTTGGTGGCTGGATCGCCGTCAACCTGCAGCGTTGCCGCTTCACCGTCGACACTCAGCAGCAGCGCGTGCAGCCGCCGGTCAGCGAGTGCGGCGGCGGGGAACGATACAATGCGCGCAACGTTGTCGCTCTGCGCCATAAACGTGAACCGAATGGCGGTGGCAAACGCATCGTACGACACGTGCCAGTACGTGTTGCCACGCATGTCTGTCTTGCTCACCAGGCTCTGGTCAACAGCCACGGAGGAGAAGCGCAAGGCAAATACAACGCTGAAGCGATCCGACACCTGCGAGAATTGCGTAATGGTGAGGCCGCGCGTTCCGTTGAACACATACGCCCCTCGACTGGTCGGTCGCACGGCACCGTCGTTGCTCAGCGGATCAAGCATGTTCGTCACTGCAACCGGACACGGCTCACTTGTGGTCGTGGTTGTTGTTGTTGTTGTTGTTGTTGTTGTTGTTGTTGTTGTTGTTGTTGTTGTTGTTGTTGTTGTTGTTGTGGTGCTTGTTGTGCTTGTCGTCGTCGTCGTCGTCGTCGTCGTAGTAGTAGTAGTAGTAGTAGTTGTTGTTGTTGTTGTTGTTGTCGTCGTCGTTGTAGTCGTTGTTGTGCTCGTCAAAGCAGGCTTACACAACGCACCATAGTCAGGACAACAATCACCTGCGCAGATTGCGTGTGTGTGCGCGTGTGTGCGTGTGTGATAGCAGCGGGTGAGCAGAAGACCAACAAGGCCTCAAGTCAAAAGCATTCACAAACACACAAACACACACGCGCACACGCGCACACACGCGCACACAGCAAACTGGGTTGTGTGGCTCACCTAGGTCACCACAAAAGCGATCACAGAAGCACGAATCGCCGGGTTCTGGCAGCGAGAAGCAGCGGCCGGCACACGACTCCTGAGGTGCCTGAAATTCAGCAGCAGCAAGTGCGTGCAAGCACACATTTGCGCAGAGCAAGGTCGTGAGCGAACTTCAACTGATGACGACCAATTCAAATGAGAGATGCCATGAAAACAACAGCAAGAACAACGACAGCATCCAGCGACATGGACCAAGGCAGGCTCATCACCCTCTCAGCATTCTTGATCTCACCATTGTCGTGGAAGTTGTTGTGGTTGATGACGTTGTGGACGACGTTGCAGACGTCGTGGTGGTGCTGGTTGTGGTTGTGGTGGTGCTCGTGGTCGTTGAGCGGTCGTCATGGGTCAGCGCATCGCAGTACAGCAACCTTGCTTGGGCAAGCGAGCCTGTCATGAAAAACACGGCACCGCTTGTGCTTGGTCGGGCGCCGAGGTGGAAGCGGCAATCCGGACCAGCTGTCCCGCAGTCCTCCAGTTGCTCAAGGAGATCAAACAGGTACTGTGTGCGGTCAACAATGACGCGCAGCACGCTGCCGTCCACGCTGACCAGGATGTGATGCTGCACGCCAGGTGTCAGGGGCTCATTCAACGTGATGGCGACGCTGTCGTGAGTTGCCTGGCCCTTTGGGCGATAGTAGAACACAAGTGACTGCGAGAGCTGGTTGTAGAACAGGGAGTAGAAGTGCTTCCCAGAGGCGGTTGCCTTTGAAAACACGTAACCGGCGGTGTCTTGTGCAAATGCCGCATCGAGAATCACCGTGAACCTCTCTGACACTTGCATGATATCGGGCACTGTTTCCACCGTGGTGCCATCCAGAAAGAGCGTCCCAGACACGCCTGCACTCGATAAGAGATTGAGCACATCGTCTCCCTCGCGATAGGGGCAGCCATCTGGCCTCGTCGTCGTCGTCGTCGTCGTCGCTGTTGTTGTGGTCGTAGTTGTGGTTGTGGTTGTGGTTGTGGTCGTTGTTGTGGTTGTGGTTGTGGTTGTGGTTGTGGTTGTGGTCGTAGTTGTGGTGGACGTTGAAGTTGTTTCTGGGGCCTTGGTCGCGGCATGATCGCAGGCCAGGCGCTGGGCAATCAGCGGTGTGCGTGTGTCTGGAAGCAGCTGGTCAAACACATCGGGGGTAAACACGTGTGTTTCCGGCGGCCCGCTAGCTGCTGTGTACACGTCCTGAAGCAGCTGCGGGGATGACGCGGCCCCCACACCCAGAACAAACACGTCCACGCCCAAGGGCCCCGTGGCGTGCAGGCGGTCGGCTGCGTTCTCCAACACGCCGTCCAGTTCGAGCGTTTCCCCGTCTGTCACCAGCACGACGACAGCGCGCCCGCCACGGAAGCCGGAAATGGCCGCGGCGTCATCGCTGAAGATTTCGCGTCGGACCAGGTTGAGGGCGTTGCCTGTTGCTGTGGACTCTCCCGCATACGGAAGCGTGCGCACCGTGTCTTGGACAGCCTGCTGTGAATCGAACGCTTGCAAGGGCACCGCAATTTCGGCGGTGGTCGAGAAAACGACAGCGCCAAACCTGTGGGCGGGTGGATGTGAACGTGAAAAGCCACACTTTGGGTCAGATGAAACAGCGCTACTGGCACGTAGAGACGTAGACAGGCCGAAACGCGCGAAACATGCCGACTCCCCACGGTTCAATGGACGAGTACAGTACAGAACATGGACACACAGACACAGATACAGACACAGACACAGACACAGACACACACCGTTACAAACACCCTTACACGCGCAGACACACACAGACACACAGACACACACACACACAGACACAGAGACACACGCACACACACACGCAGAAGCGGAACGTACTGTGCCTGTGGGTCAATGGTGCGGAGGGTGCTGATGGAGTCTGCTGTAAAGTTTAGCACGCGATTCCAGTTGTCCCTACCAACGCTGCCACTTGCATCCAGCACGTAGACAAAGTCAAAGGGAAACTGTTGGGCGCAGCCATCGGCAAGTGTGGTTTGCGCAAGAGCTGCTTGTGGCAGCTGCGACACGCCAACGCTGCACAGCAAAACGAGCCATGCCGTGACACACAGCAGCGCGCTGGCAAAAGGCTTGCCTGGTCTCCTTGACCCTCGATGTTGTTGTGGTGGCATCGGCTGTGTTTGAGATAGTGGTGCAGTGTGCGAGCTTGGAAGGCCATTGCTTTGCACGCGTGATGCTGTGGCTGCTGTGACAGCTGTGGCGATAGTTGAGCTTGATGGTGGTATTGCCGTCGCGGGCGACAAGGGCGACCTTTGTCTTCGCTTGTGGCAGACGCAGGCTTGCCTGCAAGCACCGAAATTGCGCGAAGAACGCAGGTATTGACAAGACTTGCAGGGCCTTGAGCGTTGTGGCTGCGTGTTAAGCTGTGACACCGCAGGTGGTCGCAGTCGTCGCAATCGTTGCTGCACTTGCAGTCGATGTGTAGGACTGTCTTTGTGGTGCTGGTTCAGATCCGCAACATGTGGAGGTGGCTGGTGTCGCACCATGGCTTGGCAGTTGGATATACTTGACGTCACACCGCTGTTTTGGCTGCTGTTTCGGTGATTGTGGTCGTGGGAGGCTCTGTGTCGGTGATGTGACGGCCTCATGGCATGGTCCTCTCAGCCAGTGTGCCTGCAAGCAAGCACAAGCAAGCACCGACAAGCTGCACAAAGGGGGCAAAGACGCAGCGCACTCGCGCAGCAACAGGAGAAAGGCAAGCAGAGGGTGGCTCGTGGATGGATCAGGTGTCGTGCCGCAGCGGTGCGTGCGAGAGCGGCTGCTTCAGAGGCAGGAGGTGGTGATGTCAAGTCGAGCAGCACAACAACACAACAACAAGCAGGAGAAGAAGGGTGCGGTTGTTGTTGTTGTTGTGGCCGTTGGTTGGTTGTGTGGGTGTTTCGATGTCGCGGCACACTTTCCTTCCTTTGTTTGCCAAAACAATGGGCGTGCTGAAAGTTGTTTATGGCTTCCATAGGTTTTGCTCAGAGGCGAGCGATGAGGCGTTGCGCAAAAGCGCGGGCAGTGGATTGGAGCAGCGTGCGCCAGACTTTCAGCTCTGCCTCGTGTTCACTTGCTGTTGTTGTTGTTGTTGAACCGTAGTCCACGTCGTTGTCATTGTCGTCATCGTCATCGTCGTCAGCCCGTGCATCCTTCTTGTTGTGTGTTGTCGGCTTGTGCTGAGCTGTTTCCTGCCCTGCTTCGTCGAAGCTGCGCCTGGTGCGGGTGTTGATGCCGCTGCTGCAATCCCACATGAGCTGCTTGATCTCGCCCTCACCCATCTCCGCTGCGTCCAGAAAAGTTGGGGGGGGGAGAGGTGGAGACAAGAGTGGAAACAGGGGTGGGCACGGGGTCGCAGGAGGAACATCGGGACAATGTGAGAGAGAGAGTGTGTGTGTGTGTGTTTGTGTGTGCGTGTGTGTGTATGTGTGTGCGTGTGTATGTGTGCATGTGTTTTTGTGTGTTTGTGTGTGCGTGCGTGTATGCGTGTGTGCATGCATGCGTGCGTGTGCGTGTATGTGTGTTTGTGTGTTTGTGTGTGTCGAGGGAGGACACAGACAGGAGAGAAGAGTGAACGGTGAGACTGAAACATATGGAGATGTCTTGAAGTAACTGTTCTGATAAAGCATGACACCACACAACACCACACCGAGAGCTCGTCGTCACGTGTCATCGCATGGCGTTGGAACGAACGTACGGTGTGTGGCCTTCAAGGAGTCAACAACGCCGGAGCAGTGGAAGTCAACGGCTGCAAGCTCCCACTTTGCACGGTTCAGTGGCGGAGTGGCTCTGCACAGCAAAGGGAGGTGCAGGCATGGAGAATGCATACGCGGTGAGGCTGTGCTGGTGGGCAAGGACAATCACAATTACACGAGAATGTGCAAGAGAATAACGGGGCTGCGGCATATGTCACAACCGGCAGACACATTGACACAAATGAACACACAACTACACACACACATAAGCACGTGCATGCGTGTGCGCATGCACGTGAACACAAGCATTCACACATGCATGTACGTGAACACAGGCATTTGCACACGCACGCATTCACATACACATGCTCACATAAACACAAGCATTCACACACACACGTGGCCGCACACACACACACACACACACACACACACACACACACACACACACTCGACACACTCGACACACTTGAGGGAGAGGCTAGGGAGCGGTGTGGAGAGCGCTGGACGACATGTGGTCATGTCTGGATCGACTTTGAAACGGCGCAACCACACCCGCGTCATTTTGTCCATCATGCTGTGAAATGGCACGTGGGAAAACATCGGCAGAGACATGAGATGAAATGCAGACATTGAGACACACGTCAACGTGAGGGACGTGTGAGGGAAAGTGTGCTGTATTCACCCGTCCATGCACGAGTGGTTGTGCTGATTGTGCCAGAACTTACGCGCCGTCGCACGACATGCCACCAAAGCTGCGTCGCAGCTGCATGCTGTACAGCAGCGACTTTTGCTCTTCGTTCTTCAGTTCCTGTTGTGTGTGTGTGTGTGCGTGTGTGTGTGTGTGTGTGTGTGTGTGTGTTATCATGGCCATAACACGGCATGAGTGCAGGACTAGAGCGAATCGAAGAATGGAATGCTCGTCAAGGGCATGCACGTTAGCTACGCACGCAAATGCACATGAACGCAACTGGTTCTCACGCACGTACTCACAAATACACACATACACACATCCACACATCCACACGTACACGCATTCACACACGCATGCACGCATTCACACACACACACACACACATACACGCATACACAAACGCACACCTTTGATATCTTTTGGACGTCAAAGGCTTCGGCAGAGTCTGGAAACATGGCAGAGTCATCACGGTGGGGGCAGTTGGCCAGCATGGCGGCAAACGAGACAAGCCAGTCAAGCATCTCCGCGGACAAGTCTGCGCCTTTGGAAACCGCCGCCATCAACCACACCAACACAGGGAACTGCTGGTGCAGGCACACGTCCTCAATCACGATGATGGGGAGGCGACGCAGCAGATCAAACATGGCCAAAGCCATCAGCTCTCGCATGGTGGATGCCACAAGCTCGGCCCGCTGCCGCCTCACGCATTTCTAGAGTGCCGGAATGATATGCGTGGGTGAAAGTGTCAATGAGAGGATGTGGATGACACCGCAAGACACAACAGAAGCGCGTGTGCAAAGATGTGTACACATACGCACACCTACTGAACGCACAGTCATACGCACACTCACTGACACGGACGCACACACTCATACTCACACATATCACACACACACACACACACAAACACTTACACACACAAACTTACACACTCAAACTCACAAACTCACACACACACACACACGCACACACACACGCACACACTCACACACACACACACACTTGGAGATGGCTTTTGAGGATTGACACGGCGTGGTCTGGGTAAGAGGAGCGAGGTATCTGTGCGGAGTCTTCTTTGGACGGCAGAGGATGCCGCGAGCACAGCTGCAACTGTTTGCCGTGCCACTTGATGGAGCTCTTCAGCACATATGTGTTTGCCGGCAGCTGGCGCACGAACCGAGCACGCTTGCGCGGAAAGTCCAACAAGAAGAACGTCGGCACGCTGTGGTCCGTGCCACCGAAGAAGTCGTGCAGTGTTCCGCTTCCTCCTACACAGCGTGGGTGCGCGTGCGTGTGCGTACGCGTGCGTGCGGGTGAGTTGATAAGTTCTCATGTCACACAGTAAGCGACGTGAGCACGAGAAGGGCAACGTGAGTACGACAATGGTGACGTGCCCCGCGCTGTCGCTATGTTCACACACACACACACACACACACACACACAGAGGCATCCACAGACATCCCCCACACTTACACACACACACACACACACACACACACACACACACACACACACACACACACACACACACACACACACACAGACTGCATACGTGACTTGGACTGCTTGGTCTGAAGCCCTGAAGTCGCACGGCTAGCACTGACCCCACGCTTGTACGGGTTCTCACTCCCAGCCCCCTTCTTCGTCCCCTCATCATCGTTGCTCGTTCACACGGTTTGCAGTGTGCATCAAACAAGAGTGCGCGCAAATTCACAGAGCACAACAGAGCAAATCCGGACAGAAAGCAACAAGAAACAGCAGAAGCAAGACGCTGACGCGCTCTTGCTTGCTTGTCGCGCTGTCCTGGTCGGGGTGAGTTGAGTGGCACGGAGGAGGGAAGATGAGGTGGTGGCCGACTTCGCTGTTGGGGAGAGGGCGCCCGGCCAACACGAGCAGCGGCAGCAGGAGCAGCAGTAGCAGCAATGGCAGCAGCAGCAGCAATGGCGGCGAACGCCAGAGTCAGGAAGAGAACAACGACAGGAGCGACAAGGAGACAGATCAGGCGGCCACCGTTGGATATGGAGGTGTCAACGCCGATGTGCAGGGAGAAGGAGAAACAGGCGCGGCGCACGTGTCGCCGAACTCAAGCGACACCAACCACGATACCCGAAACAGCAACGCCAATGGCAAGGACGGTGATGCTGACAACAGCGAGACGGAGCTGCGACAGCTGCAGAGTGTGGCTGACGCAGCGAGCAACAACAACTCGTCTCTCGTGCCGGCCTCCGTCACAAGTGGCTTCTCTAAGTTGCACCAGCGGCTGGTGGAGCTGAACGTGGGGCGGCTACCAAGGGACATTGTCAAGCACGAACGCGAGTTTGGGCGCTTCAACATCCCACTGGCAAGTTTCGTGCGCACGCGCTCGCAGGCTGCCATGCAACGCTTTGTCCTGCAGGCGAAGCAGTTCTTCACCCCGCGCATCGTGGCTGCGCTCAGCCTCAGCGCAACGGCCGCGTTTGGCCTTGGCCTCATGGAGGCCTTGCACATCACCAAAGGGCAGCCATCAGTTATGGACGTGATGCAGGAGCCGCTGCTGTTCCGCTTCTGCGTCTCCTACAGTCTCGAGCAGATGATGGCATCCTTTGCCATGGTGACCACACCGCCAGAGGCCGTTGCCCACGCGCACATGATCGACCCCAGCATTGTCCTGGCCGATATGACGCAGCCTCACCTCGCTCATCACCTTGTTGCCGCAAAACGCTGCGAGAGCGCACGCATCACACTGACGCAGCTTGTCACGGTCACGCAGCTGTTCCGCTTGGCCAACCTCACCATGCGCGCACGTGATGAGCTCAAGGCAAACATCATGAACGGCGTGTATGCGCCCAAGGATCGCGGGGAGCGCTTTATTCGTCTCTGCGGCGAAATCAGCGACTGCACAGCGCTCTCACTCGAACGGTGTGTATGTGTGCATGTGCGTGCGTGCGTGCGTGCGTGCGTTCGTCTGTGTGAATGTGTCTGTGCATGTCTGTTTGGCGGATGTGTGCATGTGTGGACGTGTGTGTGTGTGTGTAAGTGCATGCGTGCGTTCGTCTGTGTGAACGTGTCTGTTTGTGAATGTGTGTATGTGTGCATGAATTTGTGTGCACGCGTGTGAATGCAAACGACAAGTGCGTGCCGTTCACCTGTCAGTGTACATGCCCACAAATGATACAATCTCGTTCCATTCACCCAAACACTCATCTCACGCTTCATCTTGCACACAAATACACCACATCCCCTCCCCGTAACCTCACAACACCTCAGGTGCTCCATCAACCATATTCTGCCCGTGTATGAGAAGCCCACGGCCATCAAGCGGCTTGTAAAGAAGGTTTCACGCGATGGCAAGCTTGCGTTTTACTGGCGCGTCCCTGCAGGCACTTATGGACAGGTTGGCATGTGTGCATGTGTGCGTGTTTTGCTGTGTTCGTGTGTGTCTATATGTGCACATGTGTGTGTGTGTTTGTGGAGTTGCTGCGGGACAAATGTGCCAAGGCCACTGGCATGCCTGTGCATTCATGTTGTGCCTCAACCCTCTTTCACTTACCCACCTACACACACACACCTACACACACACACCTACACACACACACACACACACACACACACACACACACACACACACACACACACACACACCCGGAACCTCGACCCACCGCAACGGCATGTGCAGCCTGAATCCTGGGAGCAGCTTGTCGGGCGGTCCATCACACCAAACTCTCTTCTTCGCACCAAGTCAGGTCGACGCATTCTGCACATTGAGGCAGACGCGACAAACTCAGAGCACGCCGTTGCGTTCCGCAACTGGAGCAGGTGCGATGCTCATTTATGTGTGTGTGTGTGTGTGTGTGTGTGTGTGTGTGTGGTTAAGTGCATTTCACTGCTGCACTAGCTCACCCGCATGGTGCCCCTCCATTCCACGCTCTGTAACACGTTTCTGTCTTCGCGCCAGTGACTTGAGCGTCATGGATTCGATTATGGCGTTTCGAATGATTGACCAGCAAACCCGCCTGCAACCCGCATTCCAGTAAGACGTTTGCGCTCGCAACCATGTGTACTGACGCACAAACGAACCACTGCACACACGCACACACACACACACACACACGCACAGACACACACAAACACACACACACACACGCACACACACGCACGCACACGCACACCATAAACACACACACACACAAACACACGCGCACACCCACACATACACACACACACACACACACACATAAACACATACACATCCACACACGTACAAGCATGGTGTCCACGTACATGCACACATGCACGCGGTTCACACAAAACCAGCACCCGTGCAGCTGGCGTTTGATTTCAATGTAACCCTCACCGCACTCAACCTTCGGTGCATCAGCACCATCTCGCCATCGCTAACTGAACCGCCCCATGTACCCCTGTCTGTTTGCACGCATGTGCGCGCACACACACATGCACGCCACTAGGGACCGCCAATTCACTACAATGCGCGTCTATCTTGGGTATCCCCACCAGCGTGTGTGGTCCGGTGGCGGCGTTAAATCCACTGTAGGTTGCGTGTGCATGCTTGTTGTTTTGTTGTTCATCGTGTCACACGTGAAGGGGCAGAGGGGCAACATAGTTTCGGTGTTGACTGCGGCCGTTTGTGGTACCGTTGGGCACTCATAGGCCTGGCCATACCCTCCTTCACCAAATCACACACACACACACACACACACACCCACACACACAAACACACAAACACACACAAACACATAATCACACGCAACCACATGTACAGGTGCGGGACTTTCTGCTTGAGTACGACCAGGCCGATGTTGTTGTGGACGCACACGCAGTGATTCTGCAACACCTCCTGCGCTGGATCAAACACCAGGCAGAAGAGCACTGGAACGTCGTCAGCTTCCACACTGGTGAACACATCAGAGTTATGCTTGCATGTGTGTGAATGTGTGCTTGTGAAGATGCAAATGTGCGCGTGCGCGCAAGACGTTGTTCTTCTGCGGGGACGATGGTTGCACTGTTGTTTTGCTCACCCCACACTTCATCCTCAAACAACGTGTGCGAATGCACGAGCAGATGCACCAGAGCACTTTGAGTCGTTGCAAAAACTGCTGAAGGCACTCGACATCACCGTTGTCGACTCCGGCACCGTGTCAGGTGCGCACCCACGTGCATGCGCGCAAGTGCCATTTTACGCTTGCTGTGTTGATGTCAATCGTGCTTGCGCGTGCGTGTGTCTGTAGTTGTTTGCGTCAGTCAACGGAAGCATTGGACATGTCATCAACAAAGACCTCACACTGTTGCTACTTCCGCGCTGAAATAGGCATTGTCCGAGAGCACGTGCTCCACATTGTGTGCCATCACAGCACCATGGAGACGGTTCACGTCGTCGAAACACTCGTACGCAAGGACATTATCAAGTACGACCGTGGCTATGCCTTCGTGTGCACGTCGTGTTCACACACACACACACATCACACATGCAGCAGAGTGGAGCAGACAAACGCAGGCACACACACACACACACATACATACACACACACACACACACACACGCACGCACACTTGCTGACACACGAATGCCCCAAGCAGCCAATCACGTGACAATCAAACACCTCACCACCCCCATAAATGCAACGTACCATTAACACACGCACAATCATGCGCATATACACACACGCGCATGTTCGCGTGCTGCCGTATGACAGGCCTGAAAACTGCCTCGCACTTCTTGACCGGCACGATGGACTGGCTGCCATCAGGACACTCAACAACCAGGGCTACCCGGTGTCTGCCCTGTGCGCTGCGGAGATCTTTGACGACATTTTGAGGGCCGTTCGAACATGGACGCGACAAGACTACACGTGCGTTGATTGATGCCCTGCTGATGGTGGCGTCACTGGTTGCGTCACTGGTGGCGGTGCTTGCGTGCGTGTGTGCGTGTGTGCATGTATGTGTGTGCGTGTGTGCGTGTGTGTGTGTATGCGTTGTATGTGCATGCATAGGTGTGCATGTTGACCTGTTGCTAAGTTGTTGTGTGTTTCATGACACGTATGTGGGCGTGTGCGCATACGCGGAAAGCGTGCAATCACGGTCAAAGCGTCTCCACTCACGTTTCATTTCCAATTCCGCCCTTGCTCCTGCATCCTTTGTGCGCACGTGTGATGTGTTCCAGACCGCTGGAAATTCAATCCGAACTGGACACTCAATTCAAAGACGTGTGTGTGTGTGTGCGTGTGTGCGTGTGTGTGTGTGTGTGTAATGCACGTGTCATCCTGTGGTTTGCTGTCATTGTGCACATTCTCAAACACACAAACACACAACCACACACGCACACACATAACCATACACACATACATGCACACATACATGCACACACACACACACTTCGCAGGTGACGACGCTGGTGTCGTCGACCGTGCACGCTGGGGAGTCGATGACCGTACCGCAGGGCCACAGCGGGGACGAGGGCATGGGTGGGAACGATGATGACGATGAGGTCGATGGTGGCAGCGTTGATGACGATGACGTGTATGGAGAAGTGAAGGACGAACAACCCGACACAACCCCACCAGACGAGAAGAAAAATGCAAGGGAGCGAGAAGAGTTGCTGGACGAGGAGAAAGACGAGGAGAACGAGCGCGACAACAGCGCTGATGATGAAATCTCGGATGATGTGGAGGAAGGAGAGGCAACCGACGTGTTGGATGAGCAGGGACAGGCAACGCACGAGGAAGGGATGATCGTTGACAAGCAGGCAAAGAAGAAGAAGACACCACAGATCACTCCAAACCCGTTCCAGTGATGTAGCCTTTTGTTTGTTTCAGTGGCGCTTTGTGTTTCGTTACTTTTCACCATGTACAACGTATGCATTTGTTGAAGTTACCGTGATGTGAATGTGCATGTGACATGACGCGTTTTCGTCCAATTCGGCAGTTCTGTTGCATTGGGCATCGCGTCTATTCAATTCGTCAGACGCAGGCAGCGATCTGCGCTGTTATGAACACAAGCAAGCTGCAAGGGTTATGAAGCACTTGCTTTGCAGCTGGACGCAGCCGCTACACAGCAATAAATACACATACGAACAAGCAAGGCACAACACATCACTTGCCAGCAAGTGAGCAAGGTGCCCACCGTCGCATCCAGTCAATCTGTTATGTCAAGTGTCACAACCAACCATCCAACTGGGCACGACAATTCAAGCACGAACAAACAAAACGTAAAACACATGGAAACAAAAAAAGCATTTCGAAGCAATACACCCATTGCATTTGTCACCTTCAAGTCACGACAACGCGACACATGATGGAGTCTCGGTTGACGTGGGGCTGAAGCGTTAGGTGGAGGTCGCATTTGCACAAGCGCACAGTACTGACAACGTTTGGGTCCACGCTTCGCAGGACTGGGAGGAGCGAGTCCTGCGGGTCAGGATAGCAGTGGGGCATGCTCAGCGTGATGCCTGCATGCACGGCAGCGGCATTCACGGCAGATATCAACTGCGGTGTTGCTGCCGTTCCGTTCAGCTCCACGTACTCGAGGGACGCTAGCGGTGTTTGAAGTTGGCGGCGGGGGGAGAGAGGAATTGTATTGTCATGAGTTGATGCAAAATGGAGACAGCATGCAACGGCGCATCAAGGGCCAGAAGGTCAAGCCACCATGCACACACACACACACACACTTACATACACACACACACACTTACATACACACACATACACACATGCACAGACACACATACACATACACACAAATACATACATACACTCACATACACACATGCACAGGCACGCACGTGTCGTGCTCACGTTGACTGATGATGGCGTGTGTCATTGCTGCTTCAGAGCAGCCAGCGCAGCGAGCAAGGTCCAGCAGTGTGAGCTGGAACGGTGCAGATGGCAACCACGCCAACCCGTCATCCGTCACAATCGTGCTGGACAGGCGCAATTCCTGGTGGCGGGTTGATAGAGCGAGACACAAGTGAGTGGTGGTGTGAACAGCAGAGAAACGGAGAAAGCCGAGAAACAAAACCGCAAGTGGGCAGGTATACACACACACACACACACGCACACACACACACACACACACACACAGAGGAAACACGCGCACACATGCACACAAAAACTGATTGACAATCCAGCCTACACCTTGAGACGTGGGAAGGAGGTTGAGATGGTTTTCATCCAGCGATCGCCCGCATGTCGGCAACCAGAAATGTCCAGTTTCTCCAAGTCACGCATGCGTTTTGAAACGCATTTGATGCCGCGTTTTGTGAGGACTAACGATCCGGTGACGGTGAGCGCACATGCGTGACGGAAGCGCGATGCAGCCACGCGCATACACGCGTCATCCACGTTGCAAAAGTCGAAGCAGAGGGTGTGGAGACGCCGGGAGCACGACCGGAGCAATGAGGTGATTGGCGCCGTGTTGTCCATGCTCGCATGCTGAGCATTCAAGCAACACGCACGCATGCACATAAGAGGGCGTGGGTGAATGAGGATGCGTGCGTGTGCGTGTGCATTGGAGGAGAATGGGAAATAGTTCCATGGAGGAGCACAACTACGCGAAGGACGACAAAAGTACGGAAAAAACACCCGCGCGAGTGAGAGATGAAGCCAGCGAGTCACCTCAACAATGTGCCATCACACACCTGGAGGACGAGAGTGTGCAGCATGGGAAACGACCACGAAGTGAACCACGCCAGCACCGGAGCTACAATGCACAACGCATGCCAATGCACACACACAGAATGAGAGGTGAGCAGCAGAAAGGTAGCGCGCACCCTTGGCAGGCGAGGGGGCAGTCAACACACAGTGGTATGCAGCGCTGCAGTCACGCGGCACAAGTGCACCGCCTGGCAACACATGCCCCTGAACTTGGATGTGTGCACATAGCAACACTCTAACACAAACACTCTAACACAAACGCGTGCACGCCCACTAACAGGCAGACAGACACACAGATATACACACACACGCACACACACATGACGCACACACACACATGCACACACGCAAGCAAGCACATGCACACGCATACGTACACACATTCACGAAGTACCTGAAACAGCGGCGCCAGTGCGCAGCTCCAAGCGGAGAACGGATCCGGCCACCAGTGCTGGATTGCGTAATGATGACGACGGCTGATGCGAGCGTGGCTCTGGTGTCTGTGCTGCTACCTCTCCCTCTGTGGCGGTCGCTGCGGCCGTCGTGCTTGGTCCAGCTACGGCTGGTGTGGTCGCACCAACAGCGGGCGTTGCATGCACTCTGGTAATCGCAGCAACACAGCATGTGAGGCACACATGCAAACAACCGAAGCGCGGGCTCATGATGACCGGTGACAGCCAGTATCTGCGGCAGCGACACACACACACACACACACACACACGCACGCACACACACACCCGCACGCACGCACGCACGCACGCACGCACGCACGTGTCCACCACTTACATGCTGAATGCGAGTGAGAAGCACTGGAGGCGTGGTGATGACAGCAGTGGTGTAATGACATCCAAATCTGCAAGCTCACACCACGACAGCGTCTGCGTGACAAGTGAGCGTGTCCATACATATGTACGTGCGTGATTTGTGAGAAAATGGGTGCAAGGAGTGGTAGGATTGGCCCACTCAAAGCACTGACCATCTAAGCACAGCACGGTGCGTACATGCGCTCATGGTCTCATGGACAAACACACCACAACAAACACGGTTCACAACAAGTGCAAAATCCCCTCTCCTTCACCACACAGACACACCCGCACACACACACCCGCACACACACACACACACACACACACACACACACACACACACACACACACACACACACACACACACACACACACACACACACGCACACACACGCACACACACGCACGCACCACATCGCGTGGCCTGCGTGCAAGGAGTTGTCGACATGTGTTGGCGGAAATGGTTGCGCGACGCAGCGAAAGCGACGAGAAGAGCATGGGGTCGTAGAGAAGCGAGGCAAACCGCCGGCACGACAGCCCAAACTGAAGCAGGGCAGGACCCGACAGAAACGACATGATGTGCAGCAACAGCTCCTCAGGAAAGTGCTGCAGTAGAGGCGGCGGTGTTGCGCCCATCGCTTGCGGCCGACACTTGGGCCTGCCGCACTGCTGCTGCTGCTGTTGTTGTTGTTGTTGTTGTTGCTGCTGCTGCTGAATTATCCAGTCACCATCATCATCATCATTGAGGTGGTCGGGGCAAAACTTCTCGTAATCGCCATGGTTGTAGTTGTTGTCATCATCATTGTCATTATCGTCATCGTCATTATCGTCATCATCATTGTCGCTGGCGTTGCCATCAATGCGTTTGAAGTGGTGAACATGGTGGTTCCGGGAATCCACGCCGACGTCGTCCCTTGATGCAACATCCACGCGATTGCCTACAAACGTGCAGAGCCTTCGCACGTTGGTGAGAAGAACCAACAGACGGCACGCATGATGCAACACGTGTTCGCCCACGCAGGTACGTGTGCTCCTTGCAGTGTGCATGCATGCAAGCAAGCAAGCGAACATGCACCTACACTGATGTGTGTTCACTTCTCACCTTGCTGCCTGCTCTGTGATGATTGCTTCCGCTGCCGGTCTGTCGGTCCATCCTTCCCCTTCAGCGCACGTTGGTCTTTCGTGTTGTGTGCACCACCTGTTCCAGCAGCAACAACGTCAAGCCCAATATCCACGGTGTTGGGCCGCCCCCTCTGTGTTTGCTGTTGCCTTTGTTGCTGCTGCTGTCGTGACGCACGTCGTGACACATTTGCACCACGTGCTGTGGACTTTTGTGCCGCAAGTGCCGCTTCCCTCTGCCGCGCGCGCTGTGCAGCCGTGGTCACGCTCGCACTGCCACTCCTCCACCGCGATGACGCGACGGACGAAGCATCCATCTGCTCACCATCACCATCACCATCACCATCACCATCACCATCACCAGCATCGCCAGCATCAGGCTCATTTAGTGGGCTGCCGCTGCCTCTTCCTTTGACAGCTGCAAGCGCCTGTGACATGGCAGCTGTTGATGCACCCTTGGCTTTCGTCGACATACGAAGCTCACGCAAAGCGCGGGTGTGCTGTGACGTTGCTGCTGCTGTCGTGGCCAGTGTTGCCTGCGCATCTGCTAGCACACGCTGAAGACTCATGTCTGCTCTGCTCAGTGCACCACCGCTCACCCGCCGCTGCTGGGCTTTGAATGTCCTGACAGGGTTTGGGCGCGTGGGAACAGCAGAGGCTGTTGTTGCCGTGACCGGGCGTGCCTTTGAAGCCGTGGGCCGGCGGCAGTGGTGGTGGTGGTGGCGAGATTCAGCAACAGTCTGCTCATTGCCACTATCGCTCGCATCACTCCTCTGCTCACAACCATGTCCACCATGGCTGCCGTCGTCATCATCAAGATCGTCATCACTCCTGTCATGCGTGTCGCCACGATCAGCATCGGTGTCCAAGCTACGCCTCTCGTCGTGGCGCTCTGCCTGCTCGTCCTGACTGCGTTTGAAGCGCACGCGTGCAGGCGACAGCCCAAACCGCGCTTGTGCCGGGGATGCGAGCCACGAGTCATCATCGAATGTTGGGTCACCATCGCCACCAAACAGCAGCTCGCCAGTGGACGCAAGTGGGTCGTGCTCGTGCAAACCGTCACCATCATGATTATCATCATCTTCATCTGCGTGATCTGAATCTTCATCGCCATCCTCGTCCTCGTCCTCGTCGTCCTGTTCCTCGTCAGACCTGCTGCCGTGGCCCACTCCCCGCACACGATTGGCGCTATCATCATCTTCGTCAGCGTCCTCATCAGACCACACGCCAGACAACAGGTCATTCACATTGACGGATGCGCGCCAATGTTGTTGTTGTTGTTGTTGTTGTTGATGCTGTTCTTGTTGTTGTTCCTTGGAGGACGAGAGCTCAACGGAAGCACACGGCGACAGCAGCGACGATGGCACGTGTGGCTGTGGCGGTGCCGCTGGCGATGGCGTTGTGTGCGGAAACGAACGCGGCCAGCTGTCGCCGTCTTCGTCTTCGTCTCCCCCGCGTTTCTCGTCTCTGTGGGGACTGCTGCTCTTACCGTCACGCTTCGACGGAAACGTAGACATGGGTGCTGACGCATTGGCACGTACTGTCTCCGCCGCAGTAGCATTCACTTCATCATCATGGTCAGCGTCAGGTTGTTGTTTGTGCTGTTGCCTGCCTTCTTCAGTCGCGCCGCCTTGTGCGGTTTGAGCCGATGTGTCTTGTTGAACTGCACCGTCCCCCTCGTGCTTGGTCTGCGTGTCACCTTCCATCTCGCTGTTGTGATCATGGTCTTCGTTTTCCACCTCCCCTTTGGCTGATTCATGCACGTGTTCTCGTTGCATTCCATCGCCAGCACTTCCCTCACGCGGTGTCTCCGCTTGATCTGTGCTCTCTTCCTTATCACTGCCGCCAGCGTACATACCACCACCTTCCCTTACGCCTTCCTCAGAGCCTGATGGGCCAGCAGCAGTCTGCTGCAAGCGCGTGTCCGTCGTCTCACGCTGCTGCGGTGGAGGTGCAAGGCGCTGATGTTGTCGTGTCAGCAACGAAGACGACGACAAAGACGATGATGACAGCGGCGGGGTTGGTGCTGTTTCGAAGTGTCGCGTGCCACGTGATGTTGGTGCTGGTGCTGTTGGAGGGTGAGATGGAAGAGAAGTCGTGTCAGGTGCAACGTTGCCGCTTGCACGTGCGCGGAAATACCGCAACCGCTTTGTGCGGATGGATTGCGCTGCTGGTGACTCTTTGCGGTGAGCAGCCGTCGGTGGCGTCGGCTTCTTCGCCATTGCTGGTGGTGGCACCGGTGGTGGACGAGGTGTCGACAACGAATCATGCTGCTGCTGCTGCTGTGGCTGTTGTTGTGGCTGCTGTTGTTGTGGCTGCTGTTGCTGTTGCTGCTGCTGCTGCTTCTGTTGTTGCAGTTCTGGGGGCCGCTGCCGTTCCTGGTGTTCTTCTTGTTCTTGCTTCTCGCCTCGCTGCTCTCGCTGCCGCTCGAGTTGCTGTTGCTGTTGCTTGTGTTCCAGTTTCGTCGTGACAATAGCAGGGCTTGGAGGGTTTTCTGGGGTTGTTTCTGGTGTGGGTGCATCTGCATCTGCATCTGCGTCGCCCCCATGGTTCGTCTCCTTGCTGCTCGCGGGCGTAACTTCCTCATCCTTCCTTTGCAGCTCGCTTTGCAGTAGCTGAGCTTTGCTCTGTTTCACAGCTTTGCTCGTAAGCTGTTCACTCTTCCCAACGGAAGCTGCCGGCTTCTCGTGCTCTTCGCTCATGTCATGATCATGCGTGACTGTGAGTGGCCTTGTGTTGTGGGGTGCCGGTTTCGGTGACACAGGTTGGCTGGATTGGCGAGAGAAATGGTTGTCGCTGCGCTCTCCGCTCGCAAGATGGTGGTCGCTGCGCTTTTCGCTTGTCCTTGCGACCGGTGCCGCTGCCTGTTCCCGAGTGGCTGAGGGGAGGAGGCATGTGCTTCCCCTTTGTCTGCCCTGTTCAAACAACTGTCGTTCCTTGTCCAGGCGCTGGCGTGCTTCCTCCAGCTCCCGCCGCTCCCGAGCCAGCATCTCGTCGAGGTTTGATGAGGATGGTGTGGACTTGAGTGCTGTTTGCGACTGCTTCGCAGTCCCCTTCCTTGTGTGTGGCTGCTGTATTCGCCTTGAAGGGTGTCGTGGCTTCTTGTACAACAACGCACTGAC